CATCAGCTCATTAGCACGACGAGCAGCGACTCTTATAGGTCTAACTTTCCTATCAGTGTACGTGTTTACTTTTTTATGGATATTTTCGGTGTGACGATTTAGTGACTTGACAGAAGCGTTTTGCATGTTCGACTTGATAGCTTCAATTTTACCGTCGGACAAAAATAATCGTAGGGCATTTGCAGGAAATCTTTGAGTGAAGCACTTAAGCGTAGAGCTAAATTGACTGGAATATTAAGAAGTTACCCTACTTCATCCAAAACTAAGTCATCAACTGTTTGTTTTACTTTTACAGGTGGTGGAAGAAACCTATTGTCTAGTAATCTAAATAGGCCACTTCTTAAACGACAGCTTTCTGTATTTCTACATTTTACAATTTGAAGCAAGTATTGGCTCTCACGCACATGTTCTGAATACCATTTAATGTCTGGAAAACCAGGAAGATCTTGTTCACCTGCCCCAACATATTTTGCATTAACATTATAGCCATCAATTTCCATTGAACTCCATACTTCAGCTAATACATTTCCTGCAAATTCGATATTAGATTTTTCTAAATGTTCATCAATTGTAACGCCACGTTCATCCAAATGAGACCCAAAACGGTCATGAGGTAATATTAAACCAGCCAATTCACGACTAAGAGGAGCCATTCTGCGCTCTACTCTGTTATACGCACTTCTTCCAGGAGCATTGGTAGCGAAAAACAATGCATCGAGATCATGTCGCTTAAAGTGTTGCATAGCAAACCCTATGACTTTTTGATAACGTGGATTTTCATATGGCCCTCCATCAACCGTCATGATTGCCACTGGTTTTACTAGTCCATGGTCAGTTTTAGCTAATGGTAGAAACTCTTCAAGTTCGAGAAGCGTCTCGAAATCCTGAGCATGAGTATTAGCAGTAGATGAACTATGCTTTTCACTTCGAATAGCGATGTATGTTGGTCCAGAATATCTAACGGGTTGCGGTTATCCTAGCGTATTGGAAGTGATTTTGATACCAGCATAAACAGATGGTATTAATTTATGACGCTCAGCGATTACCCAATCGTGATCAGGCAATTTGATTCTATATTCCATATGCATTAGAAGAGGTGCTTGCTTATTTGCGGCAGTTACGCCAATAGGGACTCGAGTTTTATCATCTTGAGATATGAAAAATACTTGATCTGGTCCAAGTATGGATGCAGAACATAGCATAATGGATTGATGTTTCAGCGAACTTGCTATCTAAGTGGCTCTTGTGGTGATCAGTTTGAGCCCGAATGAGCTTAACAGGGACTGTCGATACATGTCTTCGTCCCTCTGCAGAATTAGATTTTCTGGGAATCAAACGAAGATATGTCCCACTGCGACTAATGTCAAATCCTATTTTACGTAATTCTTGTGCGAGTTCATCAAGAGTTTTTACGCTGCGAATTGATTCCGTTCGTCTTCTATCATTTGCTGCACTCCAAAATAAATCTATATCCGCGATTGTTTTCAATAGTGAATGTTGATTGTTTTCAAGATTAGGAGGTCCCACTGAATTCCTCAGAGATAGTCTTTTTTTTATTTCTGGATTTTCATGACAAATATCTTCTAACTTTCTTTTCATACCATCCCTGTGTTTCTTCTGGGCAACTGCGTTTTGAACCTTCCTGTTTAAAGACTGTTTTGGTGTTTTTATTTCCTCGCGCAACTTAATGATCTGTTTATTAACTTCAGCACGGCTTGGCATAGTATCTCTGGCAGAATACAAAGCATTCAGATTTTTTTCGAGTAGAGCAATCTTATTTTTCATAGCTTCCTGAGAAGGTTTTGCTCTCTGTTTATCTGTATTTTCATTAATTTCGCATTGCTGTTGTGATTCATTACCGGGTTTTATTTTATCTTCTTCCTCTTTTTTGATATTTGAAGCTGTATAATTTGTGTTTTTTCTGTAGTTTTACAGGTTGCCTAAAAATAAAAACTTTCTATGGATTCTGCTAAAGATTCTCTTATTAAGCTACATAAATACAAAGTATGGCAATATATATGGTAAATACAAAACCCTATGGCTTTAAATCTAATATGTTTAAACGAGCAATTGGTTCCGGTCACAAAATACAGGGTGATAGTTTTCTGTATATAACATATACAGATATATACATATTATGTATAAAACCAACATCCTGTACTTTGTGACCAATTGACGGAATCAATCATAAGAAATCGATCTATAATATAATGAATATTACCTCTATACTTTGAGATAGGCCATAACATTTTCCAATCAGTAAAGAGAAACTTTTTGGCGATTTCTAATATATTTCTAGTACTCATAGGTACCTAAAATGATTTCGTCACTCACCTTGGAAAAAAAAATTTAGTAGATTAGATTTATTCTTAGTCGCCGCTTGCAATTCTTCGTCGATTCTCTTAGATACAATAATATCTAGTTCCTTGTCGGATTTTCCTTGTGATTTGTAATTTCGCCACACTTCGTTAACTAACTTTTGTACATTTTGTACTTTCGTACTTGTATGAGATTTTTTAAAACTTTCAAACAATGTTTGGTACAACTTGGATTTGTCTATGTGAAACGACATCTTATTTAAACATTAAACTTTGGCTAATGGAATCAATAGTATCTATCACAAATGTTAACTTGCTTTACTATGCTTACAATACGTCTACTCGCTATAGTATCCAAACGAAACAATACACTGATAGAGGAAATTTAGACAAGTGAACACCGCGCGGTAATTCCCCTACTCGGTTCTAAAGCGAGTATTAGCAGGAATCCCCGAAAATGCGTTTCGTTTTCAAGCAAAGACAATGAGAGGGTTGCCATTCGTGTAAAAAAGAAAATAACTACCGATGACGTAATCATCATCTAGACTCCCCTACCCCCCATGTCATCCAAAATAAGGAAAGCAAAGATCCCCCGCCCCCATAGTGCTCACGTAATACTTGAACAGCCCCTTAACGTCTACTCGAAATTTTGTGCAAAGTTTGCCGTTTCCAAGCATACCATGTGTTTTAAAAAAAAACGAATTTTCCTAAATTTCTCATCAACATCGCGATGTTTATACATATTGTATTTTTGCACAAATGAGTCCAGCTTTTAATTCTGCATCCAGAAATGTATAAAATGTCTTACATTAACATTACAAAACTTCAGTTATTTAAAAAATAATATTTGCATAGTTGACCTTGAAAATGACAGCTGATCGCTTGCTTATTTGATTATAATTCAAAATAAAGATTGCTTTACTTTCAGTAAAGCGTGCTCAAACGACATTTAGATAATTTTCCCCTTTATCGACTATAACAAGCGCTATTTTTAGCCTCCTTTAAATGCAAGGTGTGTGCATAGGTTTAGATATGACGGAGTGCATTGAATTGTGTTTATTAGCCTGCAGCATCGTCGAAAGCTTAACTTGCTTTATAATGTTTCTACCAGTTTCTTAAAATTATATAGTTTTCAATGTTATTACTTTTAAATTGTTTAGGATGGAATTACGTTGTTCTTGGCCCGATTGTAATTTTATAAAATGAATCCATATTATGAATGTACATCATTCAAATTGGAAATGAACCTTTTACCTATACTATATAGAACGTCATATTGAAATTCTAATAATGCCATCTTGTAGAGGACATAAAGTGACAACAACAAAATTGAAAACGATCCTTGATTAATTCATTTATCCCGTATACCTGGATATACTATGAATTATTTCTTATTGTTCCAGAGTTCCCAATTTGAAACATCTGGTATGCTTCCAAGGACCTGAAGATTCCTTATCATACTCTGTCCGGCTCTTAGCATCTAAATTCATTACCAAAAGTTCATGGACTGTTATTACTCTCAGATTAAGACTTTTAGAGCAATGGCATGTCATATGTATGACGATAAGATCTCAACGAAATGAATGAAAGGATTGAAATGCGTAGTCAGGGGCATATTAGTGAGCTGCCTGCCCAGTGCCTAAAAAAGTCACTGTTCCAGATATCACTTAGCAACCGTATCTACTGTAGTGTCAAAGACAATGAATATGATTATGAGGTAATGTCCATTGTTATTTCCTCGTTTAAAGAGCTGCTTATTCTTCCTCCAACCGAAGCTTAAGCACTGGGTCATACTTACTATATGTATATTGTGCTATTAGAAATGATAGCACCAAAATGCGTTAGAGCCTCTGGTGTCCCCGACTGTACATAATGAAGAGTAGGTACACATAGTGGAGGTGAGTGTACCCAGGGATGATGATGATGTGGATGCAGGAAAGGGAGGGTAATGTTGAAAGAGCAAGGGGTAAGGGGTGGTGGAGTGTACACCGCTGACTCGCTTCGGGTGGTAACTCCGACACGGCTGGGGTTCTCTCTGAGCCGGGGTTTCGTAGCTGGGGGCGAAGCGCAACGGCCTACGTGGCGGACCTGGCGCGATCGCGGCTCTATAGCGGTGCTGGAGTTGCCGTCGTCATGGCGACACGAAAAGAGACGCGGCGTCGACGGACAGGGGCGTACTGTTGGGCTGTGAGGATTCACTTGGATGCCTCCTGGACTATGGTCAGATTGCACCTAATCTGTATAGAATGCCCTATTGGTTGGGGCAGTGTCGACAGCTATTGTTGACGACTGTCCCTTCTACAGTAGTTGAAGGACTTGGCATTCAATACTAAACCAACAGGCATTTAAAGGAATGTTTGCAAAAGTATTGTTTGATTTTTACTTTCACTACCATGTTTCCATGTATTATTTTATAGGCTCAACACAATATATCTCAAAATGTGTATGTCAATCTTTTCAGATTGATTGAGTTTTGAATTAGCCACCCATCTCGCAACATCCAATACATCAGATCTTCATGTCGTCAACATTGCTCACTCTATGTTTCTAACTCCAGTGGATAACATAGAGTTACAGCAAATAGTTTGTAATCTGAAAAATAATAGCGCACCCGGAAAAGATTGCTTACACACTAAAACTATCAAGATGATCGTGAAGTATATGAGTCACCCTATAACTCACATTATCAACCTCTGTTTCAAATCCTCAGTAATTCCTCGCCAATTTAAAGAAAGCATAGTGACACCAATATTTAAATCTGGAAGTAAACACAATATATTCAATTATAGACCTATTTCAGTTATCAATGTATTTGGGAAGATTTTTGAGAAGTGTTTGAATAACAGACTTTATTCTTTTCTTGAGAAATATGACATAATATCGAACTGTCAATTTGGGTTCCGCAAAAATTGCAATACAGAGCAATCTCTACAAGAACTTACAAGTGCTTGAAAATTTTCAAGATGGAAATAAGACTGTTGCAGTTTTCCTAGATCTTCAAAAGGCTTTCGATTCAGTATCTCATACAATTTTATTAAAGAAACTAGACAGTATTGGAGTGCGTAGTGGAGTTCTGAACTTATTTGAAAACTATTTGGCTGATCGATTACAACAAGTTAAGGTAGGGTCAGATTTAAACAGCATTCAAAAGATCAAAATAGGTGTGCCTCAGGGGACGGTTTTGGGACCAACACTGTTCCTCATATACATAAATGAACTACTTCGATGCAATTTTAACTGTAAAATGATATCATATGCAGACGATACTGTTTTAGTTTGCACTGGTCATTCATGGGATGACGCAATACGGAATGCCGAGTTGTCATTAAATAAAGTCAAAAGCTGGTTGGATAACAATTTACTTAAACTTAATATCTCTAAAACTAAGTATGTAACGTTTTCTCCAACTAAAGCAGGCATGCCATTACCCCACCGAACATTAATTATAAATAATAGTGCTGACACTGTCGAAATAGTTGAAGTTATTAGTTACTTAGGAATCACTGTTGACAGTAATTTAAAATGGCAGAGTCATGCCGAGCTTTTGGCATCGAAATTAAGGAGAAAGTTTTTCATTCTTAGGAATATTTTAAGCAGAAAGAGTCTTCTCTCAATATATAACTCGTTTGTGGGGTCTCTACTAACTTACGGGATAAGTATATGGGGAGCCGCATACACTAGTACTTTAAAAATACTACAAACCACGCAAAATTATATTGTCAGGACTATGTTTCGTATCCCATGTAGGTCAAGTTGCAGATTTGTTTACATTGAAAATGATCTTTTGAATGTTAGAGGCTTATATATCTTTGCTGTAATGAAATTTGTTCACTCCAGAAACAATGTTCCAACCAGCCACGCTTATGAAACAAGAACTAAAAAAAATATAAGTTACACTTATACCAGAGTGAATAAATCTGTTTGCCAAAAATGCATAAAGTTTGATGGTATTAGGTTGTATAATAAATTACCCCTAGAATATAAAATCCTCTCGAAGTATAGTTTCAAAAAAAGAATTAAGAGGTTCATCTTAAATAACTTTGACATGCTTGCATCGACTGTAGCTTGACTCAACTCAGTCATTTCGTATATATATATATATATACAGGGTTATCCAAATTAAGTGTCCACCATTGGTAACTTTGTTATTAGTAAAAATACAAAGTTGTTTAAATTAGCAAACTAGTAGCATTTTTAACGCTGGTAAAAATGAGAAATAAAAAAAAAACAATTGAGAGTCGTTATTTTGATTTTTTTCAGTAAAATAACATTTTTTTAAATGGAAACCCCTGTATATTATATTTTTTTCTGTTAAAGCATCAACTTTTAAACAAAAAAGTTCATAATGACTTTTCCGCTAAAGTCAAAAATAAAGTCAAAATAACGATAAATATTTTAATTATTTGCAGTATTATAATATTAAGACGGCTATGAAAACAACATGGCGTTCGCGATTTGACAGCATTAAGATAAGCGACAAATTGTTAAACTGGACATACTCGCAACTAGAAGGCTTTGGAAAACAATGATAAAATCAAATCATGTCAAACATTAGTGTAAATACTTGTTTATAAGCTTTATTGTGTCATTAATTTAAAGAAAAATGTTCTCCCATGAAGAAAAGTGTGATATGTTAGAATGCTATTTAGTGTGCAGAAAATCCTCCTTGAGAGCAAGAGAATACTACAGTGAATTATATCCCGCTCGCATTCAACCGTATGAACGATATTTTCTTAGACTTTATCGAAAATTTAGGGGCAACGAAAATGTTTTTGCTAAAACAAGGGCAAAAAAGAATTCATAATAAGCGAGGCCGCGGAAATTGCTGTTATTGGATATTTTGAAGCTTATCGTGAGAATTCAATAGCAGATATTCTCAAGGACTCTAATTTCAGTTATGGTACTGTTCAAAGGATTTTAAAAAAATACAAATTTATTCCGTATAAGTACCGACCAGTTCAAACGCTTTTGGCAGGGGATCCAGAGAGAAGACTTGTTTTTTGCCACTGGTATCTTAGCTTCTGTCGCCAAAATGTAAATAACTTTCGTTACCTTTTATGGACAGATGAATCAAATTTTTCAAATTCTGGAATGTTTAATAGAAAAAACCACCATTATTGGTCAAGAGAAAATCTTTTGTTAGTACATCCAAGAGGCCCACAAGTCCGTTTCAGTTTCAACGTTTGGTGCGGTATAATTGGTTCAAAAATTGTTGGCCCGTTCTTTTATGAGGGAACCCTAACTGGTGAAAGATATGTGGAATTTATGTCAGAAATTCTGACTAATTTCTTAGACGAATTGGATCTTATAAGTAGACATCATCTGCATTTTCAGCAAGATGGCGCACCTGCCCACAACTCCAGAGGTACTTATCATTTTCTAAGTACTACTTTTAATGATCAGTGGATAGGAACAAATGGCCCAATACAGTGGCCTCCCAGATCACCAGATCTTAACCCACTTGATTACTTCTTGTGGGGTTACTTAAAGAACCAAATTTACAAGCGAAGGTACGATAACCTTGACGCGTTAAAGACTGCAGTTAGGGAAAAGATAACCCAGATAGATGGTAGGACCATACTTAAGACAGTTCGAGCAATTGAAAAACGTGCCCAAAAATGTATTGAAGAACAAGGTGGTGTTTTCGAGCATCTTCTTTAAAAAAATTGTTACTGTATTTTGTAAGATTATAAGTTGATGTTGAAAATAAAGTTTGTCGATACAATTTAATTGTTTCAGATTGGAGGCCATAACTTCAACAATTTGTAACCTAGGAGAAAAGTTATTGTAAGCTTTTTTGTTTAAAATTTGATGCTTTAACAGAAAAAAATATAATATACAGGGGTTTCCATTTAAAAAAATGTTATTTTACTGAAAAAAATCAAAATAACGACTCTCAATTGTTTTTTTTTATTTCTCATTTTTACCAGCGTTAAAAATGCTACTAGTTTGCTAATTCAAACAACTTTGTATTTTCACTAATAACAAAGTTACTAATGGTGGACACTTAATTTGGATAACCCTGTATAATATACTTTATGACCATTAGCTATGCATTGAATTTGTATATTGTATTATAGCTTAGGTGTCTATTCTTTTGTAGTAAATTGTAGTACTCTTGTTTCTCTCTTTAACCTTTACGCAAAATGTTTATTGTTTAAACAACATAGTTTGACCTTACTCGAAATATTCCTATATTATCATATTCATATTTTATGTACTCTATATTTATACTTCTGAGTGTTTTTAGTATGATTCTGTACTATTGTTATGAAGTTTAGATTTGTTTATTCAGACACGTAATTTAGGATTTGTGACGACAAGATTCAGACATTTACCCTTTACGAAAGTATACAGAATTTTCACAATTCATATACCGTTACTTGCTGGTTCTAGATCTGATGCTGGTATCTTTGCTCAAATTTCTGTTGCAATCTTGGTTATTCAGGGTAGCAAGAGCATACAAGCTCATGTATTTTTGAAACTGATTTTTTATTTATATTGTACTGAAGGTTGTTTTTAATTTGTAAGTTATATTATAAACTTTGAATTTGAATAAACCTTTAATATCGACTGTGCCGCTACTACATACACTACGTTACATCATTTCTAGGGGAGTTTATTCCATGGTACTAGTAACTGAGCAAGCTAAATAGACTGGTATAACTAGATCAAGTGCGGATTTGGAGGGGGGCCAGGATTGCCCCCCCCTAGACGTCCAAGTCTGCCATTTTTGCAAGAATATGGTATGTATCGCTAATAATGAATTAAATATCGATTCTTAAAAAATCTAAATGCGGATAAAGTATGACGGCTATGTTTGCAAAAATTTGTCGACTAACATCAAAATGATATTTAGAGCAGTGCAATGGTATTTCCCGAAGAGGCTATTTGTCGTCCTTGTCGCTGTGTATTACCCTGCACCACTTCATCCTAAATCTTTATTTTTCTGGAGTTGATATGCATGTATTTGTAAATCTAGGTACAATACAGTATTTTAAGTCCATGATTTTTACCCATTTTTACCGAAAATCGTAAATACGGAGCAGAGCAACATATGCAAATGGCACGAAGCGTGCGCAGCGGTCATATAGCTTTGTGGTAGCTGGTGTCAGCTGACGTCATTATCCAGTCTCACGCTCCAATCAGATAATTCTCCAAATAAGAAACTTCTGAGTAGCGTAACTTTGTAATTTTTTAAGATATTAAAAAAATTTCAGTGCTGTACGTCACCTTACTTAGAACTTAGAACACCCGCTTTTCAATTTATAATCGTCGTTACCTCCCGTCCCCACGAGACGAACATATTCCTAACCCCATCGAATGCCAGAACATAGCAAAATACTGGAGGTAATGAAAAGAAAAGGTGAAGTGTCTACGAAACTACACGAACGAGGATGAGCAGTGAAGCTCAAGATGCAAGAAGAGTACACAGTTAAAATAGGCGTATTCCCTTTATAAATATAAAATGTAATAGATTGATTTAATTTAAACATTTATTTAATATTTCTAAATAGTCAAGGATTCATTATAGAAAATAAATGGTAACATCTTGAGAAGTACCTTTGCGATGAGTTAATAGAGTTCTTCGTAAATGATCTTCAAAAGAAATCTAGCCTGCCACATGTTTGTATATTATCAATCATTATTGAATTCTTGGTCGTTCAGTTTAGCAAAGTGGTTTTTAGGGTCGTATGACAGGATGTGAATAATTGATGGTCTAGTTGTAAAACCACGTACAAACATTTGCCTACTTTG